GGATAGTCAGGAGGAGGATCGAGGACAGGCAAGAGGAGGGTCGAGGACACTCTAGGCTCCTTATAACCCTTCTTATTCTACCCCAGCAGGTTGTCTGTCCTCTTCGCACCAGCCATTCCACTCCGGCATCGTCGTTGGTATAGATTTTCAATACCATGGATGAGTGGAGGGACCTGGGAGGGGGGAGGGAGGTTGGAGGGGTGGGAGGTAGGGAAGGGTGTGAGAAGGTGATGTGGGGATGTGATATGGAGGAGAGGGAAGGAAGGAAGGGAGAAAGGAGAAGGATAGGAAGGGGTGGGAGGGTGGGATGGAGAGATGAAAGGGATGAGAGAGGGAAGGTAAGGAAGGAAAGAATGGGGGGTGAGAGAGAGGAGAGAAGGATTGAGGAGTGGGAGAGAGAGGGAAAGGATGAGAAGGAAGATCAGTAAGGGAGAGGGGGGAGGGAATGATAGGGAAGGGAATAAAGAAGGCAGAAAGGAAGGGGAGGAGAAGGGGAGGGACGGAGAGAAGAGAGAGGGAAGGAAGGGGGACAGAGGGAAGTTAAGAGTGTGAGAAGGGAGGCGACGAGGGTGAGAGAGATTGGAAGGAAGGGAGAGAGAGAAAGGGAGAGGGAGGGGGGTGGCAGAGGTTATTGAATGGGTTACCTGGCCCACAGATCTGGCCAAGCTCAAACGTCCCATCTTGGCCCACCAAAGAACTGGCTCAACCATCAGTGCTTGGCCCAAAGAACTGGTCTGGCTATCAGTATTTGGCCTGAAGAACTGGCATGGCCATCAGTGCCTGGCCTAAAAACTGGCACTGGCCCACGCGTCGTCCAATTTTAACGAGTTCTGGACACAATGGGCAGGACCCCCCCACCCCCACTACTCCAGGATTGCATCGGCCGACGTCCACCACTTGTCAAGGGTCGTCGCTAGAGAGAGACTCGTCGACAACCAACCACTCGATAATTTCAGAAGAACCAGTCAGTTGAGTAATGATGGCGTGACGCCCTTCAGCAGCAGGCGTGACAGCGTCGTGTATCACCTTCTACACCTTAGGTCTGAGTCGTGTTTGTTTACTGATGTTATTGTTGAAGTTTGTATTTTTTACCCGTACTCACGCCTGTATCACTACCTATACTGTACCTATACTTGAATTTTTACCTGTACCAATACCTGTTCCTGTATTGTACCTGTACTTGTATCTCCATCTATACTATTGTTTCCAGACGATGGAAATAATATGAAATCACAAAGTTTCAGGACTATACAGTATATATCCTGCAAGTGTTCCGCTCCACCTAACTTACATTAATTGATTTTATTTATTTTTGTATAATAAACAGTATATTTTTAAGTTATCTGCTGGCCAGCGAGACATAATACTGAAATACTGTACCTACGTCAGACTGCACCTCAGTCTCACACACACACACACACACACACACACACACACACACACACACACACACAAAGCGGCTGATGGTTGACTTTTTCCCCAGACACAAGCGACTTTGTGGACGTTTCCCCGCCCTGTAGCCACTCGTCCCTAGCCTTCACTCTGCCAATTTCCGTGCACTATATACTCATATCGGTTGGTTGGCCAGGCGGTCCACCCTACCCTCTGCTGCGTCTCTTCACCCTCAGAGAAATGTTTCCAACGACACAACACAATTTCGGCCTCAGGAAGGTAACACATGCGTCTGTATTCTAATATGGCGGACGAAAGAGGACGAGGACCTACCTGACGAGGACCTACCTGACGAGGATCTACCTGACGAGGACCCACCTGACGAGGATCTACCTGACGAGGACCTACCTGACGAGGATCTACCTGACGAGGACCTGTCTGAACGAGGAGCTGTCTGAGCGAGGACCTACCTGACGAGGATCTACCTGACGAGGATCTACCTGACGAGGACCTATCTGGCAAAGGCCCAACGTAGCGAAGGTCATGTGGGGTTGTGATATTTAACACCTTCAGTATCTCTCCTCCTCCATCTAAACTATCTATTTCCCCGGGTAAATTTTCGAAGACAACGGCGTTATTTTTTTCTTCTCAGTGATGACGACTGTGGCATCATGAACGTTTATTAAAATAGATAAAACGAACCATCCTAACCTAACCAAGACACTGTTACTGATCGCCTACCTTAACGATAATTGGTATACCTGTGCGGGAAGTTGTCACACCTTGTTGTTATGTATTAGCGGCGATGGTGAGTCTTACAGGTGAACCCCCATTAGTTCTTACCTGGAAGGAGATAAAAAAACTAGTTAAAGGAGGAAAACATGAATGGACACACACACACACACCACACACACACACACACACACACACACACACACACACACACACACACACACACACACACACACACACACACACACACACACACACACACACACACACACACACACACACACACACACACACACACACACACACACACACACACACACACACACACACACACACACACACACACACACACACACACACACACACACACACACACACACACACACACACACACACACACACACACACACACACACACACACACACACACACACACACACACACACACACACACACACACACACACACACACACACACACACACACACACACACACACACACACACACACACACACACACACACACACACACACACACACACACACACACACACACACACACACACACACACACACACACACACACACACACACACACACACACACACACACACACACACACACACACACACACACACACACACACACACACACACACACACACACACACACACACACACACACACACACACACACACACACACACACACACACACACACACACACACACACACACACACACACACACACACACACACACACACACACACACACACACACACACACACACACACACACACACACACACACACACACACACACACACACACACACACACACACACACACACACACACACACACACACACACACACACACACACACACACACACACACACACACACACACACACACACACACACACACACACACACACACACACACACACACACACACACACACACACACACACCCCAATTACTATGTTCAACCGACACAGCAAAGGACACTTAAAACTTGCATAAAAAAACTCGCAGTAGAAATAAACCGCACGTTCTCTGTCCTCCTCACCACCACCAGACTGCACGCAAACACTTCAGCTGAACGCAAGGGAAACATGACCAAATTACTACATAACTATTGGTCGACGAGTTTACACAAGTATTAGGAGGAGGTCGAGAGAGAGAGAGAGAGAGAGAGAGAGAGAGCCAAATGGCAATATTATTACAGTTACTGCCGCCTGTGCTTTGCTAATGCTAATGTTGGTGCTTTTCACGATACTGCCGCCGCTAATGTGCTGCCTGCTGCTGCTACTACTACTACTACTGCCTCCTAATCCTAACAATACTACTACTCCTGATAACTACCGTCTCATACTCCTACAGCCCAAGAATAACTATTACTATTGATATTATACTATTATTTATATTACTACCATTACTACTATAACTAAATACTATTACTGCAGCTCCTCCGTCTCCTCTTCCTCCTCCAGGGTTCATACAGTCCTTGGAAGAAGAAAAAAAGATGGATTGTCAAGACTCCCTCCCCTCCCCCCTGGACCTATTACACAGAGAGCACTACTTACGTGAACTTATAAGCAACAATATATTTAACAGCAACATCACACAAACGGGGTTGAACACTCACGTAAACTTGTAAAACAGCAAATGTCTCGGGATGGCAGGCTAGTATTGGGCGTTAACTGAGTACTATAATAAACTGAGTACTATAAAAACTGAGTACTATAATAAACTGAGTACTATAATAAACTGAGTACTATAATAATTTGAGTACTATGATAAACTGAGTACTATGAAAACTAAAGTACTATAATAAACTGAGTACTATGATAAATTGAGTACTATAATAAACTGAGTACTATAATAAACTATACTATAATAAACTGAGTACTATAATAAATTAAGTACTATAATAAACTGAGTACTTACTATAATAAATTAAGTACTTTAATAAACTGAGTACTATAATAAACTGAGTACTATAATAAACTGAGTACTATAATAAATTAAGTACTATAATAAACTGAGTACTATAATAAACTGAGTACTATAATAAATTAAGTACTATAATAAACTGAGTAATATAATAAACTGAGTACTATAATAAATGCGAAAAGTTTGATTGTGCGAAAAAAGTACAAACTCATAATATGGGAAGACTAGAATGCACCGATTATATCATGAGATTATAGTGGTCACAGTCACCTCTCCTTCAGGATTATTCTTTATGGCTGCAGATCTTACTTCCTTATCCTCGTTTACCTCCTCAGTACATTTGACTGACTCACCATGGTCAGTACACAGTCCTTGTTGCCTCTCATCAGTTTGTCAGCTGACCTTTAAGAGATGAGTCACATCTTCTTCAACTCTGGAGATTCTAGTTTTTCTCTGATCTTTTGCGCTATTTGTCTGGTTCTCTCAACACTTCCTGGTGCTGTTGGTTTTTCTTTGCTCTGGATGCCGGTACAAGGATCCCTTTGGTGATAGGCACTTTTATTATCCTCCCCGTTCCCCCTCTCCAGTCTCTGCAGTTATCAACGATCTGTCGCTTGGCAATAAGAGTCTATCGTTCATGTTCTCAATAGTCACTTCCTTGTTCATTCAACTGGAGACTGTCCAGGAGAGAGGAGAAATAGCTGCCTCACAACAGTCCGTAACTCATCATATTGCATTTCTCCAGCAAGATGGGAGTGCATCAGGTTGCTGACACCGTCCTCACCTGCTGGGTCAAACTTCATGTATTTCTCAGTTTCCTCTGATGATATACAGCAGAACCCGGTGAGTGACCAAACTGGCTGATTACTTAGTCACATACAGCCATCCATCCAGCCAGCCTCCACCATTACGACCAGAGTTACGGGTCAATCCCTACATGTTGTTCTCTGTAACCCATACGTCGGGGATCCTTCCGGGCCATGAGGTTGACCAAGAGGTAGATAGCTGGGGATTCCTCCAATAACTTACTCACTGTGACCACAAGGAAATCTCTGCAAGCATCTCTTAAATTGCATCTTTATCTGATGCAAGATTGCCTTTGATAAGTTTGCTCTCAGCTATAAACAATACACGTGTCTGGCAGATCAAGAGCAGCCTCCAAACCCAATGAGTTTCAAGGAGTGTATAACACCTGATTCATAAACAAAGTAAAATTAATCTACTGACACGAAGTTTCACCTAATTAAAGTATTCGAACCAAACGTGACCTGCCTTAGCCTTGGTGGGTCAAAGTACAAATCTGAGCGTCCATTTGGTCAATCTTGTCCCCGTGTTGCACCATCATCAGTAACTAATACATGCCCAGAGAGTTATTCAGTGTTAACAAGAAAATAATTATGTGATAGTAAATTTAGCGACTGCCATGGCCAGCTCTGAAGTCAAGTACGGTAACAGTTGTGTTCTGACCTCACACCGAAGTTGTGTGTTCTGACCTCACTCAGCTGTGCTCTGACCCTCACTTTAGGGGAAAGCAATACAGGAAGTTAGCTCCCGAGGGATACTCATCAGGATGCGCCAGTGCTATGTGGTCTGGGGGTGCAAGGAGTTTGTTGGCCAAGCTGGAGTGGACCCGAAGAATTGAGAGGGTCGAGGAAGAAATAGAGGAAGGCCACGTTGGAGAACCTGAAATTAAAGAAAGAGATGTAGAGGATGAAGGGGAGGTGGGGCAGGAGCCAAGGCATTGACGAAAACTCAAGCGAGGAAGGTTGTGAGGAGAGGGAAGACCAAATCAGTGATGAAAAAACACACCAAGGATACGTCAACAACGTCATCAGTAAACATGTGTACCAACTCGTTCAGTCCCTGATAGACAAATTGGACGTTGGGGCAGCCAGGGACAGGGCCACAAAGGAAGGTAAGGTAGAACTTTAATTGTTAGTACCTGCCAGGCAAGGCACTTGGGACAGCTTTTGTAAAACAAAAATAGGAGGGTGTGTTTGCCAGTAGCTTAGATGGACAATATCTATCATAATGTGGAAGAACTCCATTATCTGCCTCAGTGCAGGAGGCAAATGATATTACGGTGTAGGAGTTGAGAGCTTGATAAGTTCAAGGCAGCTATAGATCGTATTAGGAGTAAGGAGGGATCCCTATCATATGCAGTGTCCTGCCTAGAAGGAGAGTGCTGGGTGAAATGCATGGTTGGCGGCAGTTTGTGTCAACGACTGTCTGACAGATATTGCAAAGTCACATTATCCCATTCATTGACAACTTGACAACTTACGGCAGAAGGGACCTTATGCTAGGGATAGGAGCGCACCTGTCTTGGGTGGGGTAAATCCTGGCTGGGTTCCTAGAGGGGCAGTTCAAAGGATATCGGAAGTTTTAAACTGCTAGGGGAAATGATAAGGGCACGGGGTGAGGGAGACTGCAGTGGGTGCGGGTAAACAAAGGAAAGATTACAGGGAAACAGTGTTAGAATGATGGCAAAACTAAATTAGACAGGGAGTTTAAAACTAAACACGGTAAAGGAGGACTCAGAACATTCCATTCAATTTAAATGTCTACTACGCGAACAGTAGAAGTATGAGAAAGAAAATGGATGATATTAGGGCCTGGTACAAAAACAAAAAATTATGGTAACAGTATTCATTGAAACATGGATCAACCTAGGACTACGTGAGTTACCGGTCGAATAATTAAATTGGTGGGTTACAAAAATTGTTCCATACCAATAGGCAGACCAGGAAAGGAGGCGGAGTAGCAATCTATATGTTAGGGATAATCTGAAGGTGAAATAAATAAGGAAAATAAAACTGAAAGTGAATATGTAGCTACCTTGGAAAGTAAATGACCACCGATTAGAAAAATTAATCACAGGGGAGTGGGTTGAGGTAGACCCTCCAATCTTTGATAAGAGTCAATGATGACTTATCTGGGGATGAAATGTGCAGGGCTTCCATGCACAACAAAGTCTGTATAGTAGGCGACTTTTAACCTTGGCCAAATAGATTGGACTGACTCTACGGGTAACTCCAGAATAAGAGGATTTTCGAGACGGCCCAGGACTGTTTTCTAAGTCAACATATAACCGAACCCACCCGGGGTATTAATATACTTCCATTTAGTCTCTGTCGGTCAGAGAAAACCTCCTACCGCAATGTCGAGGTAGGGAAACGAACTTGCAAAACAGAAGCGATCACAAAGAAATCAGATTCCAGTTAGATTTTCAGGGCAGACGTAAGGAAAAATTCCACCAAAGTACCAGATTTCAGGAAGCGGGCAAACTTGGACAGCGCTAAAGAGGCAGCTGGAGAGAGGGGGTGTCGCGCTTTGGCCGTGAACTCCGACAGGTGGCACCGACCTGATAACGAGATCTGAGATTGCCGAGTTCCAACAATTTAAATAATGAGTTACTTCTAATATACAAAGGCAGAAACATACCATACAAAAACTCAGATCAGACAACAATGACCCTAAATGGATAAATAATTATTTAAAGAGCATCATTGGCCAAAGGGAAGGCTATAGGTAGGATAAATCGTGGCGAAATTTACCTCCGGGATTATTATAGGTATTGGGCGAGAAAGCTAAACCAGATAAGGAAAAGCCAAGAAGAGGAATAATGAGGTAAGGATAGCAAGGGGAGGCGAGACAAACCCCCAAAGAATTCTACCAAATGTATCAAACTAAAACACGAGAAAGTGATTGGACCAATAATGCACAGATAATACATGGAAGTCAACATAAAGGGACGAGAAATGAGCACACTTTGAATAAATAAATAAAGCCTTTACCACTGAAATTTAAAACACATGATACCTGAGGCTCCGACTCTATCTAGAGATAGTGAAGAAACAAATTAAGCGTAGATAGTAGTGACTAGTACTCCATGTTAGTAAGCAAATAGACAAAACTAAAGCCTAATACTACCCAGTCCCGGCGAGATATTTTGCCAGAGTATTAAAGGAATGTAAAGAAGAGCGTTAGTATGCTCTTAGCAAAGAAAGTTTAATATGTTCTTAAAAACAGGTGTAGTACCAGAACTGGAGGATAGCGAATGTAATACCGATTTTCAAGAAGGGGATAGATCATTTGATTCCTCTTAAATCTCACTCGGCCTAACTAGTCTAACATCAATAGTAGGCAAATTACTGAAGTTGAATCATTTCAAATCCTATTCGAAATCACCTGGGGAAGCACAGATTGATCAATGATTTCAGCATGGCTTCACAAGCGGGCGTTCATGTTCAATCAATCTATTAACATTCTTTTCATCAGTTTCTTTTTAACTGCAGGTCGAGGGGCACAATTATGATGTGGTATCTCGACTTTAGCAAAGCCTTCGGACAGAGTCTCCACGAAAGACCAATTAGAAAGGTAGAAGCACCTGGCATCAAAGGTAATATCCTTAAAATGGATTCGCGTAGTTACAGGGCAGAAATACGGAGCATTAACGGTATTAAGTCCCATTTGAGCAACGTCACAAGTGGAGTTCCCTAAGGCTCAGTACTTGGACCATTTTATTTATTATATACATAAACGACATAGATATCGGCATAGACAGCAACATAAGAATTTGTTGATGACACTTGCACAGGATTGGTTATTAACTGACGAGGAGTCCGCAAAACCACAGGAAGATCTAAAACAATTTTTCGAATGGCCTGAAAATGGCAGATGAAATTCAAGGTGGACAAATGTAAAGTACCAGTATAGGAGATGTAAAACAGGGAAAACAGATACCAGATGAACAACGATGCCATAGAGAACTGACTGCGAGAGAGATCAGGGAGGAATGATAAGCAGGGAACTCCTTAAGCCAAGCAAAACAATGTGTTTTGCTCGTAACAAGCACAAAAGTACTGGGGTTCATACAAAGGAGGTTAGTTACAAGACTAGCCAGGTCATCCCAAAAATTGTATCTGAGCTTGTGAGACCACACCTGGATTACGCAGTTCAGTTCTTGGTCACCGTATTACAGAGAATGGATATAGAATCTTGGAAGAATTCAGAGGAGAATGACAAGACTAATCCCGGCACAGGGAACCCTTGAGTATAGAGACAGGTTAAAGCATCTAATTTGCACTCTCGAAAGACGTAGAGCGAGGGGCGTCTTGATAGAGGTGTATAAGTGGAAGTCAGGGCTAAACAAAGGGACATTACAAAGGTACTCCAAACTATCCAACCAGGAGCGAACTTGCACAATGGTTTTAAATTAGACAAATTTAGATTTAGGCGCAAAATAGGTAAATACTCGGTTTGGAAACAGAGAAAGGGATGAATGAAATGAAGTTACCAACATCACATTTACCTTGAATACGCCTGAATATTTCAAACATAGGTTGATGCTTATATGAGCAATAGGGTTGTGTAAACGGACTGTTTCAGTATGGGCCAATAGGCCCGCTGCAGTTTCCTCCATTCTTAAATTTATGTTCTTAACTATTGACTCACACAAGGAACTACAACGCCCAAAGTCTTCACTGGCTCTTACATTGGTAAACAACTCACACAACTCGCAAAGCAGCCAAGTATCACTGTTAACTGAACAATCATCTACTTCCCAATTAATTTTACTGAAAGGTACAGTCTTGTCATCAAAACAAAACCGAAACGTTACCAAATAAAATGTTTCAGCTTCGGTTTTATTATGAACTATCAGACTACGCCAAGACTACACACAAACTACTTATCTACCTTATGTTAGGATATTAACGTAAATCCTCTTCGAAATTCAAGTCTAAAATCTGCTACGACATATCCTAAAAAAAAAAAGTTTTGTTTGTCGAAATGAATCCTTGAAAATCCGAGACGCGCTTGTTTACATTCCATCGCGAACGCCGCTGCGAGAGGTTAATGCAGGGCGGAAAATGTAATTTATTAATATCCTGTGTTGGCTGTTGTGTGAGAGTGTATATACAAAGTGGGTTAACTCCAGCATGTAAAGCTTAACTTTTACCTGTAATACAGCCCAGGTAAACACTCTGTATATATACCTGCGACAACTCCACAAAATTACATCAAAGACTTATTTTATAACCTGGTTACGGAGAGAGAGAGAGAGGCGGGCGTTTTGGAACAATGTTACTAAGTCACACCTTATTGGCTTACACTCTTTTATAATAAAGGAATAGTAGTATATAGTTTCATGAGAACCATTTTGTTTCTATATTTTAGTTATATATAACTTTCAAGGGTATAAAAAAAACCGTCTTATGAGCAGCTTCCGTCGTTATTAATTATACTTGTACGTTATGGAAACAGAATATCTTCATATAATTATACGTAACGTTGTATAATTACAATTTCTCGTATTTCATAATCATAATACAAGTATAGTTTAAGAACCTGTTGACACGGGTAAAATAAGTCGTGACACGCCTAAAGCTCGTTAAAACACCAGAATTACCTGAAAAATAGACTACTCAAGTTCTTTTACGTGGGGATTAACGCAAACCTAACCTAACAAAGGAAGCGATATAATTAAGTTTAAAATGCGTAAAATTTAGATTAAATGTCGTAAAATTAACGTTAAAAGCGTAAATTTTACTTCAGAAAACGAAATATAACTTCTGACGTAAACCTTTCTTCAGAAACTTCACTCAACGTCATAGAAAAGGAAAATCAACTCCACTAACTAGTGACTTTGACCTCTGTTTTCGAATCGGTGGACGACAGGC